CGTTTTACGACATTCCATGGTGGCCCAACACAGGGTCTGTGGATGGGTTGAAGTTTGTTAGAGATTTATGACATTTGCAACACTAATTGGTCCCAAACAGTTCTAGTTTTTTTAAAAAAGTTTAGTTTAAGTAAGGTTTTACGACACTCACAACTGCATAAGGTCACATGAGCGCCAAAAAGTTTTAGTCTTAGTAAGTGTTTTACGGCACTCTAGGGTGGCCGAGTACAGGGTCTGGCTCGCGTCTGTGGATGGGTTGGAGATTGTTAGAGATTTACGGCATTTGCAACACAAATTGGTCACAAAAAGTTTTAAGTTTTAGTAAGCGTAAAGGAGAGTGCCGAACACAGGACAGGGTCTGTGGATGGGTTGTAGATTGTTGGAGATTTACGACATTTGCAACACAAATTGGTTTTTAAAAAGTTTTAGTTTTGAAAAAAAAATTACTTATAGTAAGGTTTTACGGCACTCGCAAGTGCATAAGGTCATATGAGCGCCAACAAGTTTTAGTTTTAGTAAGTGTTTAACGACACTCCAGGGTGGTCGAGCACAGGGTCAGGCTAGCGGCTGTGGATGGGTTAGAGATTGTTAGAGATTTGCGGCATTGACACAAATGGGTCACAAAAATATTAGTTTTTGTATCAGTTTTTAGTCAGCGTTTTGCCGTACTCCAGGGAGTATCAACACAAGGTCAGACAAGCGTCTGAGAAGGAGTATAGTGAAAAAGATTCACGGCACGTGCAACACTTAAAGGTTAAAAATGTTTTAGTTTTAGTAAGAGTTTTTCATAAGCGTTTTACGGCTTTTGCATCACAACTACGTCATAAAAGTGTGGAAGATTAGAAGTATTACAAGACAGCAGTCAACACAAAAAAGGAGGAAGAGAGATAAAGACGATAGATATTTGATGGGAGAGAAGGAGCAAATCACACCAGAGCACTCGCCAATCATCCACAGTCTCAGGGCACTACTTGGATTCATCAGTTATGAAACAAAGACAACTTTGCGCTGACCTCATCACTTTGGAAGGCCCCGTGGGAAACAAACAAAACAGACAAACAAAACAAACAAACACAAAAAACACACAGACTGATGAGAACTTGCTGGAGGCCGCATTCTGAACACCTGGGACGCACAAATAATTCGCCTTAGAGAAAGAGAGAGAAAGACTGAACACCTGGGACG